TTTCTACATCCCTGTTTGCGAGGTGACCTTCCTCGTCGACCAATCTTATCTGTTCCTCTGTGTGCTGCTAACATGTTTAACAAAGACCTTTCTCTTGTCCCACTTTGGCATTCTTCAGCTTTAACTGGGCTTTCACTACACACATCTTCTCCCTACCCTCTCTGTTCACAAGCAACAGATCTAGGAAAGCACCTTTTTTTGTCTGTTTCCCTTGTACTGGTACCAAGATATTGTCATCAACATATTTTAGGAATCTCCTGGATCTGTTTGTACCAGATGTGTGGTGTTCTCAGCTTATGTCTGGCAAGCTGAAGTTTCTCATAAGTACGCTCATAAATTACTCATAAGTACGTCACACGTAATGTGTTTGATCTAGAGATATCTCTTAGTTCCTTAAAGAACAGTTCATTAGTGTCACTGTGCTGGCTGGGTGGCATATCGTAGGCTCCCACAATGTCATCTGCTTTATTTGCTTGTCCTGCTAATTTCTTATGCTGTATGCATTGGTGTAGAAACATTTCAAATGTGCTTCATTGCACCTACCACCTTGTGCAGCAGGCTGAAGGATCTCACAGGCACACAGTCCCTCATGTTTTATTGTGCCAATACATAGCATACCACTAGCAAGCTTAGTTTTATCCCTTTCCTGTTTGGAATCTAGTTTAAATCTCTCTTGATCAGCTCTGCTAACTCCTGTGCTCCTTTCCTCCCTGTCTGAGAAAAGTGCATCCAACAGATGCCAACAGGCCTGGTGTTGTGCAGACCATCCCATAATCAAGAAACCCAAAATCCTGCCAGTGACACGAGCCTTGCAGCACATAATGACATCACAGGTTAAAACCCAAACAGATCTAAGTACTTCACTATGCATCATAAATCTGAGGAATTAATTGCTTAGAGTTGCTGTGGAGGCAAATAGCCTAGAATTGATCAAAAGCAATGAGATACTTTCATGAAAGAGCAATTCAGCAAGGACTGCTAGAGGTAAGGATACTTTGGTCAGGGTGTGACTATCATGGATATTGCTGGAAACATACTAGAGAAAGCATTGCTTTACACCCACATTTTTCCTTAGTCTGTTTGAAGCACACTGCACTTACCACCACTGTTGTCAGGATCCATGGCTGGTTTGATCCCTATACACCAGGTAGTAGTTGTTGTGCACCAGGATGAGAAGCAAAGCCCTGGCCAAGTAGTCTGACCTAAATACTGCTGCACAGCAATGCCATACCTTGCAAGCACTTAATCTGCACATCAGCATTAAATCGAAGATGGGAAAGACTGCAACTCAGATGTGCTGTTACAACACTCCACAGTCACTTGATGTAATCCAGCATGATGCTAAGGACCTTGCAGAGAGTCTGGGCTGAGGGCCAGATGGGCCCTTAAAACATATCTGAGGAAGGAAACATATCAGCATACACCATAACATTTTCCAGGAAGAAAGTAAGCAACGTCAGTCTTGTGAAAACAGATTGTAAGCCGTACTGGTCCCTGAGTCAAGTATACCTTAAAGATCTAGGAGAGATGAGGAAAAAGCATAGCTGGGAAAAGGGGAAAAAGAAGGGCTGAGAACAGAAGAAAGCCTTTTTTTTAGCCAGCCTGATGGTGAGTTGCTGGCTAGATATCTCTATGACCAAAGACATGCCAGAACCTTGGGCTGGCCAGAGCAAGACTGAGCTTAGCAAAGAAGTGGTGAGCTGAAATGTTTGCAGCCAAGATAATTCAGTTGTAAAGCATGGAAGGAGAGAAGAGTGGGGTACAAAATGCTTCTACAAAACCAGGGAGGCAAAATAGGGAAGTTCTCTAAAGACTGTGCTGAGGCACACACACAGTACCAAGCCTCAGTCAGGGACTCCTAGTTCCTCCAGCTGTAGGGAGCTCTGCTCTGGAGTTCTCCATGCCACCACACAGGGAAATTGTTGTAGGAAACTGCCTCCAGCTGTCTGACAAGAACAGAGGAGGGGCTGGAGAAGAGTATTGAGAAGGTTGTATGAGTTGAAAAGAACAAGCTCTGACATGAAAGAAAACCAAACATAGATTGTGCATAGATTACCACAAAGAAGGGTGAACAGAGGCTTTGCTGCAATAAATAAGCAAACGCCTGTTTAATCACCAGGTATTTAACGTGACTATTATATGGAACAATGAAAGAATAAAAACGCAGCAGGCACTTTGTCTTTGCATTTAAAGCAAGTACAGCCTACAGTTTACCAGGTGATGCTGTCATACATTCTCCAGTTCTGCCATCACTTTTGCAATGCTGCATCCCCAGCTAGGGGCCACATATTATCCAAGCTACAGGCTCAGATAACTCAGGCCCTTCTAGCTCAAATGGTGCTTTATCTCATGGTGATCTAAGGTAGGAAGGACATTGCCTTAGACCAGGAACGGATCTTGATGCTGCACAGAATATCAGCCCTTGCCCAGGCAAACTTCTGAATTTATCTGAGGACATCGTCCTCTCTCTGTTCACCTTCTCTTCTATGTTCATGTGATAAAATTCCTCCTCCACCTCCAAGCCCTCAGCTTCCTCCAGTACTCCCAGTTGTCATTCCCAAGGATGGCAGAGCTTTCTGACTGCTCTCCCTACCTTCCTTGGGTACACTCTCTACTTTGTACCCCCACCTGGGAGCTGGGAAGACTTCTCAGCCTTCTTCTCTGAGCTCAGCTCCAGTTCTGTGGGGCATGAAATGCAGTATTTGGAGGATCTGGAGGCTGCCTCCATTTGCACAGCCAGGCACAGCCTGATATTTACCTTTTTACTTGAGTACCTCTCGTGCAGCTCATCACGTCAGCTGAACTATAACATGATATGACATGAATGGCCTTCCCACTCTGGCTTACTCAAGTTGCTCTTTGCTTATCGTAAGGTATAATTTCTCAAGTTCCACAAGACAAGCAGGTCCTGTAGGGAATGATATAGGGCAGCTGTTGTGCATCTGTTCCTTTTCAGCGACAGTCTTCTTGCCGAAGCACATGAAAGAAATCCTCAGGCTACGTCATCCTCTTGCGGAGCGCTAAAACTCCAGTGCCTGGCTGGTTCTGAGCTGAAAGCATGGGAGTGAAGACCACACTAGAGATGACAAATTTGTATTTTCTACTTCAGAATTCAATTGTATTTCCATCTCTTCTCCCAACTTTTTCTCACTTCTGGCACATGTTTCTCCCCACAACCTTATTTAGATGTTGAGTATCACTGAGTTCATTTTAACGCTCCTTCAAACCAGAGCCTCACAGAAACCACCCCAGTGCCTCCAGTGCTGCATAGCCTCCTCAGCATAGCAGCTTCTCACCCTTATCCTCCTTTGGTTTCCTCCCACCATGCCACAGAAAGAGCAGAAGCAGCAGATGTGGAAGAAATCCATCCTGCCAGCCCAGGCGTGCTGCTTGGGTCTGTGTCAGGTCTCTGGCTGCCCATGTTGTGATTCCACTTTCCACCAACCACACCAAGGGCAGAATAAATCTGTGATCCATCAGTTCTGGTTTTGGGAAGCTTTCCATCCAGACATGCCACTGGATCTTAGCCCTGGGTTTACACTATGCTCTGTGGCACAAAAACTAGGAAAGTTACACAGCAGCTTGGTTCCTGAAATGCACTTCTCGTGTGTCCCATTTCTGTGCATGAGCAAGTTCTTAGAAATGCCTAGGTTATGATGCAGCTCTACGTGCTGCCCAGAAGGAAGGCACTGAAGTTGCCCAGTGATGGAGAAAGCCAAGGAGAACATTGGTAGGGGCCAAGGCTGCCCAGAAAACGCCCCTGGGCTTAGTCAGGAAGATCTGCAAACAGCAGCCTTGGACTGCCTGGACTGGTTCTGTCCTGAACAACCTCAAAGCAGCTGCCAAAACCCAGCATGAGGAAGAGAAAGGGTGTGTTAATGCTGCAAGGCTGTGCTGGGAAGAGCCAGGACATCAGGCTGAAAGAACCACCGCTTCCAACACATTCCCAGCAGCGCTCCCTTGTGACCACTGCACCATAGAGCTAATATCTGCTGAGAGCACGGGGAAGAGAAATAGTCCCGCGGTTAAAGGCAGAGCCACTAGAACCCCTGCAACATGAAGAAGCTTCTGTGGCTGCAGATTGAGCCTGTGTAACAAGGATGAGGTAGGACTCTTGACCCAGCGAGGCTGCAGCAGGCTATGCACTTCGAATATCCTCTTGTGCACAGGGATATGCAGGGTGCTCTTGCCTGAAGGACACACAAAGAAGTGAAGTGACATGGGGGGAGATTACTGTTGCCAGTTTTGGACCAGCATTACTGGTCAACCAGCCTTTATCTTCTCCCAGTTTGCTTGTTCAGAAGTAATCTGCAGTGATAACACAGTCAAGCCTCTTAACCCTACTGTCCCTTCTTTAAACCACAGACCTAAGCAGTGCATGGCACAAGGGAGAAAGTAAACATCCATGGTAGCTTTCCCTAATGCAGCTCCATGGGCTATATCTTTTGCCTAGGTCACTCCAGCAACTGTGGGTAGCAAGCAGCTTGCTTATTAACACTGCTTCTCCTAACAAAAAAACAAACTGCACAACTCCATTCCCTGGTTAGCTGGCAGCTGCATTGCTGTAGGCTAGATCAGTGCAGGACAGCCCTGCTCTGGAAATGCCAGGGGTCTGGCAGGCAATCTGAAGCAAAGGTCCGCCTGAGGAGCTGCAGGTATGCCACCTGGCATAGACTCAAGTGACAATGTTATGTCTGTCACCTGCCTTTATGTCCCAGAAGAGGCAATGCAGAGCCTTTGCTAGGACCCTGCCACTAGCACATGAGAAGAAAACTCCCTGGTGCCAGCATTTAGAAATAGCCCTGTATCTCAGCTACCATCCATGTCCTTATGCAGGCATGGACAGGTTGACTCTGAACAACTCAGAGGTGAAGCCCTGCTGCCAATTACTCTCCTAAGAAGATCCTGTATTTACCATTCACAGGAGCTGTTGGCTGTTCTTCCTTTGCAGTTCATGGTGAAACTGACTGTAGGTAACAGGCACAAAGAAAACACAGAGCTTTTTGTAAGAACATTAAGAGATTTTTTTTTAAAGATAGAAAACACATAACAAGAAGCACTGCTCTACAACTTCCCAAGCTCTTTCCCCTCAGTGTAAAGAAGCATATTCTGCAGCCCAAACTCGTAATGCTTCCCATGCTTGCAGAAGAAGAGCTCACTTGTGCTCTGGTGGAGGGGTGGGAGGCAGCAAGCCAGGATGACAGTGGGCAGGAAATTCCATGTGCACACAGATCTGGTCTCGTGTCAGTTCATGTTCAAATACTGCTGCATTCAACAAAATGGACGCAGAACTTTCATTCCTTACCACTCAAGCCCAGCTTCCCTTAGCACCCAGGGCAGCAGATACATAGAACCATAAAAGAAAACAGAAAACAGAAAAAACATGAACAGAAACAGATAGGAAATCAGTAGAGGTAGCTGTGAGTGAACACATTATTGCAATATCCAGTTTGTGACTGTTAACAGGTGAGGGGGTCTGTTAAAGTAATGATGCACAGGCCGTGAGGCACTGTGAATCTGTGCAGAGTGTGACTGTTCCCATCTTATCCCCTTTGCCTGGATGGTCCATGTACTGCAGTCTCAGCCGCTGAGACCATCCAAGTGTTGAAGAACATTCACTTCTGCAGGAGTCCTGTCCAAAGGCAAAGTCCCAGCAGAGTGCAGCAAAAAACGTGCAGTAAAAAAGGCTGCTGTATGTCTGCATATAATCACCCAGCTGTGCAAGGCTCAGCAACACTGGAAGAGGATGTGGCTGAGCCACTCTGACCTGCAAAAAGTCGGGAAACACAACTCAGTGCAGGACACAGGGACATCCCAATCCAACATGCTTGCAATCATCCATGCATCTGCATAGTTTCCTGTTTCCACCTCATCTCAGGCCATTCTGGGGACATTAATACTCAAATAAAAGAATGAAGCAATTGAGTCAAATATTTTGGGGATAGGCCTTTCTCAGGCACCAAGAGTAAGACTAGATTGATCCCAGCTAAAAACCTTTGCTGTGAGCAGCTCATGAATTTCTGTGAGCTGAACCACACAGGAAGCTCTGGCAAACCTGTGCAGGGCTGAGTCCCACAATGAGTCAGTAGCCAACAGCTTGTTTGACCTCTTTCACACCGATCTGTTACAAATCTCTGTTTCTCCAGAAGTGCATAATAGCACAAAGGCTGCTTCCTCCGGGCTTCAGCAAATAAATAGGGCAGGAGCAGAGCCCACTGGCAGCAAGAGAGAGCTGAGCATCCATTCCATGCTCCAAAAATTAACACATAACCAGCTGTCAGAAGGACCTTCCTGGACCTCTTTCACATAATCCTTTAACTTGCCCAGTTTATCAGAGTTTCAGGAACCAGATATGTCTACAGCTGTGGAGACCTCCTTTAAAACCTTTGCTTAAAGTCTTTTTTTATGTTCTCAGCCTTCCCTTTGGTTCACTGCCTCTGATACCCCCTGGGCTCTCCATGCAGCATCTGCTTCTGATACATGCCTCTCTCTACAACATTAAGCCATTGTAGCTGAGTACTGCACTGTGCAGACATGCTTTCTGATAGTACCCCATCCAGCCACAAGCCTTTTGACTGCAGCCTCTATCACACTGTGGGCTCCCTCCAGCAGCTTTGTTATTGTACTGAAAGCACACCATGTACCAGAGGTACTGGGAGCCCAAACTAATTTGGATTGTTCCCATTTTTCCTGATCTCCCTCTGCCATTGGTCTCTGCAGCTCTGGAACAAATGCTAGCAGTTGCCCTGTTTTTCTTGTTCTGCTTTTAAATGGTTGGTGGCCAGGAGATGCTCTATGTGGATTCTGTAGGACAGGAAAGAGCCCTGTAGCTCTCCATTTTCTGGGGAAGCTGCAGGTGCTGTCTGTCCTTCTGTGTGTAGTCTCGTCTTACCTTGTCCCATAGGCTGTACATCCTCAACGTGGAGGGCTTTACTGCAGCTCTGTACAGGAGCCATTCAAGGAAGCAGAAGAGGACTGCAGAAAGAAGAAGAGACGGTGTTAGGGGAACATGAAGTGGGTTGCTACCTGCATCTTAGCCCCTCGTGCTGTGGTCATCTCTTTAGGCATGTCAATGAGCCAGGCTCTCCCTCAGCCTAGCAATTTCAGTGAACACAGTCTTTATCTCAAGGCCACTGAATAACACCTGTGACCCAGGAGCACTATTTGTGGAACCCTCCTCTTTCCTGCCACCAGACAGGTCAGCTTCACACGTCCCACAGTAGCTGTATGTGCTGGAGCTATGACACTCTCGCTCACTTTCTGGATTTCTTGCATTGCCGTGTGTATGGAAGAATGAAGGCGAGGAAAAGCCCGCTGGTTGTCTCCCTCCTTGGTTGACTTTTGCTTTTTTCTGCCTTTGTCCAGGCTCTGTTGCTCTTGGTAATTTTTGGTCCTCCTGAACCATAGTGGTCTGAGAATCGTATCTGCTTCTGCCTGCAGAGTGGACTTGCCAGTGGGAGGTCCTGGAGGACAGGGCTGCTCCTTGGGAAGGCTCTCCTGTGTGCTCGAGGAGTGTGTCAGTGTGAGGCACTCCAGGGCTTCATAATCCAGACTCTCACTGCTTTTCTGAGGGAAAGAAGAATGGATTCGGCAGTGGCTTGCAGATGTAACATCTGCAGCCACTGCATAACGCAGCCCCAGCAGCACAGCTCTGATGAAAACTCATCAGTGAACAGCTGTGATCAGCTTGAGGCAGGGGGTATCATCCATCCACAGGCACTGCTTCAGATGCCCTCACTCCTCAGCACCCAGCTGCTTATGTTTGCTGGTGTATGCGGAAGAGGCCAAGCTGGTTGGCTAAAATTGGATACCTCCAGCAGGATCTCAGAGCAGAGACAGTGCAGCAGGGACTTTCTTAGCTTAGTGCACGGTCCATGCCCCTTTCCCTGCTGGAGATCCTCACCACTCACCTGCCCACAGGGAACAGTCAGTATCTCCATGAAGGGCTGGATGCCCACAGTCTGGTGATACCGCACCAGTTCAGTGAGTGAGGCATGGGCCCGGTCTTCCCCCAGGATCACATAGCGTGCATTGGGCTGCATCTCTATCATGTAGTGCCTGCAGCGGCCTTCACCTCTGGGCAGACAGACAGGCAGAAATAGTCATGGCAGGGGGCCACAGTCTCTCTCCAAGGCTCAGTCATCACTTTCTACACTTGTCTTTAGAGCCTAAGTGTGATCAGAAGCTACAGTAACAAACACTGCAATGATGCAGGAGACACTCTATGCAGGATTGTCACACACTGTGCTATCATTTGCTGGAAGAGCAGCGATTTCCCCAAAGTCAGTGATGGGCTGGAGAACCCAAGCAACAGGATCCAAACCCCAGCAGCAGACTGTACTGCTTCCCAGGCTCATTGCCCACATTACAACTCCACACCACCTGTTGCCTGAGGCTGTATTACCATCACGACCTTGCAGCATATTCTGACTGCTTCTCTGTGGCCCTCCTCTCATCTCCTGTGCTTCAGTCACTGTTTCTTCTAACTGGTTTTCCCTCTCACCCAAAGTAAGACCTGCACCCTGCATGCTCTGGAGCAGCAACAGTGCACCCACAGTTTCTGGCAGAAGACAGACTGCAAGCCTCCTGTCTGCTACTCCAGACTGAGGCACCCACAACAGGAGATACTGAGCATCATGCTAAGCAGATTCTTCTCCATAGAATGCTATGGAGCTGTTCCTCTATCCGTGAACAGCTCAGTTTAGGACCTTTATATTCCTTCTCCACAAGGTTTATTACCTGTAGGTCAGGGTGTAGCCTGGTCGGCTCTGGCTGATCCGAACAAGGAAGCAACCCAAAGGCTTGTCAATCAGCAAGTTTTCAGCTTCCCTGAAAGCAGGAAAGAATTTTTCAGCAGAAAGTGCGCAGCTGCCTCTGTGCAGAAGTTCCCAGTCTATCTAATTTGCTACCATTGCAGTGTTCCTCATCCACAGGGCAGCCAGCATCTGCCAGAGTTCCCAGCTAGAGGTTTCCAAACTCTGGCCTGCTGGTTCAGGGATACCGTAGCACGCTCAGAAGATGGAGCATTCTCAGACAAAGCCCTTCCAAGCAGTGCTGCTCCAAACCTGCTCCAGCAGCCTGCTGAGTGCAATAGCAACAACTTCCTAGCACAGAGCACATAACAAAGCATTGCTGAGATGAGGAGGTTAGGCACGTGGGCAATTCTGAGGTTTGAGGGTTGATGGAAGAAGTCATGGGTTAGTGGCGCCTAGCATAAGGTAAACTCCTGCCTTGGAAAAATACCAAGTGAGATTATAGCACTGGCTCTCTACTTCCTGCTGGAAAGAAGTCTTCTCCCTCTCTGCCCAAAGGACAAAGCACTACTTTGTGCTCTACGTTAAAGGTGACTGTAAATCACCAATGCAATTTGAGACTGCTCTGATTGCTCTGTTACTTGTTATACTACTGCACAGAGACTTAAATCCAGCAGCATGAAGCATCAGTTAGTAAGAATTTAAAACCTCGGTGTTTTTGGGAAGGATTTGCAGGCAAAGAACCTGCTGTGTCTTCCACTGTGAAGTACTTGTCTCTAGCCTATAGTTGAACTCCGACAATTTAGTCCCCCATGCACTAATTGTTTCCATGCATTCTTGACTCTGTAGACAAAACCAGTTACACAGGCGAGGGCCTTGTTAATTATCCATTGAAAAAAAGGCAGATACTAAAGAGATGTCAGCTACTGCCAGTGTCCTTTACACAGCTAACATGCTATGTGATGTTTCTGAACAATGTTCACACTGACAGGCCAGCAAAGTACAGCAACTTGTGATCTAATAAAGCTGCAAGACTCCTTTGGTCATAAGATAAAAAAGTTACAAACAGAAAAAAGATGACAAAAGTGCCCAAATGACAGGCACATTTGGCACCAGAACCACTACTGAAGTTTCCCTAAATAAGGGACACTTGCAGTTGGTAAGAACCCGGATGAATTTGCACTCACAGAAAACTAGCTAGAAACTCTGACATCTATCCTGTCTAGCTCCACAGCCTTGCTCCTATCTCATCACTACTGTAATTAGCACTTCTCTGGCTGTCACAATGCCTGGAAAGCAATAGTGCTTGGCTTGGCCAAGATAGTAAAATGTGAGTTCTCAGTAGCAGAATTTCAGGCATTTAAATAAGGGTTTTCTCAAAAAAATGTGAGAATTTGCAGTCATCTCTTCTCCAAGAAGGTAGGAGGACATGGAATTGTCTCTCAGCCTAAAGGTATGTGAAATTTCACCTACACTGCACTTTCCTTAGATGACAAAAAATATCAACAAAATGCCTTTTATTTCCACACCTAGGGGCTCTGGTGCCTCTTGCCACCAGGTATTCACTAAAATCCCTCTTAACACTTTTAAAAATAACGAATACTAAATTCTGTATTCTTCTGCAATTTCACCTAAACTGAGAGGCATGAGGTCATAATGAGTTAGACCAAAAGTCCACCTTCATTCAATATCATGTCTATGCAAATAGTCTAGAAGATGCCAAACGTGTATTTCCTCAAGAACTTTCCCAGACTCCGTTTCCTGCACTTGATCAGCGTTTAGGAACTCACAGTTAATTTCCTATGGGTTCCTACAGTCCTTCCTTAGAGCCATGTAAAGTTCCACCAGTTGCATCCTTTCATAAGGAACTTCACACTTACTTTTGATGGTCTGAAGTTCACAGTGTAAAAGTGAAAGGTTTTGCATGCCATTCCCATTCCTTAAGGAAGCAAATCCAGGGCAATCCAACCTACGCATCCTTCCTAAGGAAAGAGCAGCTTCTACCTGCCTGCCACAGCCCAAGCTGTGACCAGAGCGTGCAGAATACTCACCTTCGGCTGATCATCCCATGCAGCCAGCTTGGAAAAGCCCCATCATCCTGCACGACTTTCTGGGCTTGTGTCTCTCTGAACCAGCGGAGAGTTGCTCCTCTCTTGAGTTGTTTCATTTTTGCCTCTTCTCCTGTCTGTTCCTCTGCCCCCATAACAGGGCAAGGCCCCGAAAGGTGCAGGAAGTTATCAAAAGGAGTGAACTGAAAACGAGGAGAAGGGGAAGGCAGCAATGAAAGCAAGATCAGAGGCAGGGACACTCTGAAGCAATCACTGTGGTAGATCCCATTCTTCAGTGGCTTAAGAAAAGATCAGTCACAAATTACCAGACACTGCTCTCAGTTCCTCGCAGGTCACAGAGTCAGATAATCAGGTAGGGTTTGGAAGGGACCTCTGGAGATCATCTATTCCATACCCCTGCTAAAGAAGGTTCCCTAGAGTACATTGCACAGAAAAGTGTCCATACAGGTACTGAATTTCTTCAGAGAAGGGAACTCCACAACCTCTCTGGGCAGCCTGTTTCAGTGCTTTGTCACCCTCACAGTAAAGAGGATTTTTCTCACGTCTGTATGGAACTTTCTGTGCTCCACTTTGTACCTATTACTCTTTGCTTTGTCACTGGGTACCACTGCCAACCACCTGACTCATATCTTTATTCTTGCCCTCACCATGCTTTTTAATTAATGACATTAGAAAGGGACTTTAACTTCCGATAACTAGCAAGACAACATTCTTCAGTAGAACAGGTGTGTGCAGAAGTTGGAAGCAGCAGGGAACCAGCACACCTGGATAAGAGACCCCCAAGCAGAGCCAATACCTCTGTTAGCTTGCTGCGTGGCCGTGGCACAGGTGGCTGCGACAGCATATCAGGTGCAGTCTGAGGACGGGGACAAGGCAGCGGGCGTCTCTTCCGTGGCACAGGGACTGGGAGGGAGATTCGTTCTGCAAATAGGGAAGAAGTAGATGAAAGCTGCAATCCAAGATCTGTGAGATCAATCCCCCCAGGTATGCTGTCACCCTTGTAGGAGAGGAAAGACTTTGTCTTTTCAGCATAGACAACAAATGTTAGGAAGAGAGAGAATCAAGAACACAAGTTTGTGAAGCTCAATCCTTTCCCATCTCTCCTTAGCCAAGGTCTGGGAAGGGGCAAAAAGAGGCAAAGAGCCTCATAATCACCATCAGCTCCCACACTGCATACCATTAGGAAGCCTACATCCAGGCATACAGCCATGATCAAAGTTCTTCTGTATGGAGTGCAAGGGCACAGTTAGGCTTTCCTCCCAACACAGCTAGGCAAATGACCTTTACCATGCAAATTCAGCTCCCCAGTAAGTCTCATTTTCAAGAGGCAGAAACGTCAGCACCTTTCCGCCCACTGCACCAGCCCCACAAGAGCCAAAGACAGGGCATCATCACCTGGAGCTTACAACAAGCTTACAAGGTGGCCATGCAGGTGGCAGTGGGAGGGGAAGGAGACTCACTCTGGGCCTCTGCTTCCATTGCCAGTTGTTGACATCTTTCTCTTTCTGCCTCCTCCTCTTGCCGCTGTGCCTGAGCTCTCAGCTCAGCCACCAGATTCAGATAGGTTCTCCTGCATCGGAATCTCCTGAAAACTGTTCAAGGAAGAGTGGCGGTTAGGAAAAAAAACAGCGATAATCATGTTTCTGCCACTCCCTGGTGGAAGCACACTCGAAAATATTCCTTCACCCAGCACAAAACCCTCAACACTTGAAGAACAGAAACAAAGAGCAGTGTAGCCCCTCTGCTGTAAATACTCCAAGCTGTGTGAGAATTGTCCTCTAATCTTTCAAGCAGTCAGATTGCAGACTTAAAAAAAACAAACAAACAAAAAAAACAAGCAACAAGTTACAAATCTAAGCTCTCATCTCTAGTGCCAAAGTGCAAGATGCCAAAAAACAGTCACACAGAAGAGCCACTTTTAGCCATCTATTTACTTGGTATCCTTCAAACACTGCTCAATAAAAGCAAAGCTCTTCTATTCAGGAGACAGGATTTCCTTGGTGCCAGTTCATGAGATTCACCAGAAAAGTTAGAGACATCACATTATATTGCCTACTTTACCAGGTACTAAAGAACACCAGTTGAAAGAAGCACCCTTCTCATTCTGCTGTGGACACTACTCACCTGTCTTCCTGAGAGACAAGAACAGAGAACAGCATGTGGCAGTCAGACTGAATCACTGACTGGACAAAAATTTTTCTTTACTCTAATATGAGACCACAGTTGAGGGGACTGTCCTGCTTCAGTGCTCACCTTTCTGTATAACAACTGCTGCTCTTTCCAGTTGCTCCACATATTTTGCCAGCTGATCCTGGTGCCAGTATTTAAAGAAAAGTCGTGACTTTCTATGAGGTTGGAAAGAGAGAAAAGTACAGAAATACTCTGTTTGTTTAAGCTTGTATTCAATCATCCTTTGGACAGCCCACAGCCATAAAGTTCTCCCTGAAGGCAACCACGTAACAGTTTATAGGTATAATGTCTCTGCAGTTCAGGACTGCACTGCCAGCAAGAATGATTCACACCTACCCGCATATCCAGCCCGTCAGGTCTGTACTTTGCAGTATCTCCAAGCAGCTGAAAGAGAGAAAGAAATTGAAAAAAAACCATTTTCTGCACATAATGAACGCTAGGTGGCTGTGTTTTTAGGCATATCAAAGGGGAGGAAAGTGCCTCCATGTTTCTGCGCAGCATTCTCCGTTCCCTGCCACTTGATCACACCAACTGCCTCTCAATCTATAGAGCTCCTTGGGGTATAGCTAGGAGAAGGTTCCATTCGGGAACATCAAAGCAGGACTCAGAAATAGACTTTGTTCTGCTTTCTCAGAGGCAATTCTGCAGAGCCTGTCTTATTCTCAGAACTATTCTTCCTCATTTCATTTCCATGTAATTTCAAAGTACAGAATTTACAGGCTCAGCAAGGCAAGACTTCTTAGAGAAAGTCTATTTTTTAATTCCAGTTTCATTTTGCAAGCTTTTGTGATAAAACCTGGGCCATGCAGAAAGATTCCACACAATACTCCAGCTCTGTCAAGCAGCTTCCTTCCTCTGCCTGCAAACCTAGGCTGTGAAACCGCAGTGACACTTTTTGCAAGTGTCCTGCACAGCAAAACAGAAATAGCTATCCTGTGATTTCAGCCAACTTCTGCTGAGCTACATTCAGGATAACAAGGAACTACATTCAAGGTAATTTTTTCATAATTGCATCCTATGATTTTTGTATCTGAAAACACATCGTGCTGCCTGCCTCTCTACCTCATCTCCATCTTGTTCATGAGATTCCTTCTGATTCTCACTTGGGTTTGCAGTTCTTAGCAATTTAGTATCATCAATAACTTCAAGGCATCTGTGTGAGGACTGGAGAGGCTGCTGCCAGGAAAGAACTTTCCCAGAACAACATTCAAATCCTTTCCTTAAGAGACCAAAAAAAACAAACAAAAAAATCAGTTGGCTGTCTTACGTGCTTCATTGTCATTATCACAATTAACTGTGGCAGGAAGAAGGAAGCAGGACAGTGAAGGTCAGGAGGTGTGAAGTGCTGCCCTACCTGCAGGAATTAAAAACCTAATAGGATAAGACTGTGCAGCTGAGGGACATTTACATTTGGAAGGGACAGATTTCTGAAGTGCTGTGAGTATGTTGTGCCAATACACATATAAACATTCTTGGGCCAAATGTAATGTTTTTAGCTTGGTGATACCCAAGTGCTGGCTGCTTAGTCAGCACTGCCTTTACTTTCTTCCCCTGTGAGACAATCCGAAAAAAAATCTAGAAAGGCAACTGGCAACTGTGCTGAGTCTTATCATACTGAGTTCAAGGGACACCCCTGGCCAATACTGTAACTCCAGACTTTAAACCCCTTAGCCCGTCCTCCTTCTTCAGCACTTTAACACTGAATTGAATTGCTGCAGAGCAATTGAAGGAATATTTCATTCATCATAGCAAACTTTTAAACATTAACTTTTTTTGTCTAGGCATTTGTGTTCCCTGTCAACACAAAAATGCATCCCCATTTTGTTGCCTCTAGTCAGTTTGCTATTCTTTCCTGAGAACCAGAGTCTCTGTAGAACAAACTGGATAACACATAACAAAGGAAGAGCTCTTACCTTCCTTTTGTCAAGGAAACATCTGGTTTAATTAGAAGAATTCCATATCTGCGAAAAACAAATGAAGTCAGCTAGGTAAGAGCCACATCCTTGATGTACTGAGCTGATCCATGTCAAGCCCACAGCAAACAATAACAAATCAGTCTTTCCCACCAGGGTTCCCACAGCAAACAACCTCGTCATCTCAGGTATGCAAACTTTACAGAAGTAGTTTTACTCCCCGCCTATTTCAGTTTACCAGCGTTGTTTCCCTAACAGTATCTAATAGGAACATTCAGAGGCTTTAAGATACCTTTCAGCAAATTCCTCAAACAATGGTCTCCAAGAGAAACCATCTCTTCGGATCCGGATAGTCTCCAGCAGTCCATTGTATCGGAGCTGGAGCAGCACCACAAAGACAGGATTAGAGAAATAAACATACAAAGGCCAGAACAGTCATTAGGACATGAGTTTGTCCCTCTCCTGCCCAAACCTCTCTAGGTTAAAAAAAAAAAAAAAAGAAAAAAGTTTCTGAAAGTATTTCCTTAATTAAAGTCTGAATTCACCACATCCTGAAACTCTGTTGATTAACCACCTCTAGTTGAAAGCTGGAAACCACAACATCCAAATAACTTCACCTGCCAGCCATGGGCACTACTTCACACGTGGGCACTACTTACTTGTCCGTAGGACAGCCTTCCACTTCCAAACCTGTACAAAGATGTACTCTGATGCACACAGATCCACTTCCCTCTTTATCCTATCTTTTCTTATATGTTTATATATGATACAGGCCACAAAGTGTTCTGAACTCTTCTAACTATTTTCAGTATTCTTTAAGGGCCTGGATATCAGACCTGACACAATACCCAGAGACACTTGTATCAGCACACATCAGATCCTCTCAAAGCTTCTTGGCTTCCGTTCAGAGCTGCCCTGAGAGGTACTGTCCATACCAGTCCCCACATCAGAGATGAGAAGACGGATGCTAGTACCTGACAAGCAGCTCTCATTACATTCATGAATATGAAATTAATATGAATGGGGGAGAACTAAGACTGTAAAACCTGGACATAGCAATCTGTGTCACAGTAAAACCTTAAATGCTCAGAACCTCTACATGCATAGAAGGTGTGCCCACGCTTAATCCTACAAGGGAAGAATCAGACCAGCAAACTTCCAATGAGCTCCACTACTTTTCAGAAGGCTCTGAACCTTAAATCCATTCCTTCCCTGCCTTAGATTCACTTCCTACTGAGACCTGGCAAAAGTACCTGCAAAGAAAACTGCTTTTCTTTACCTGCTGCAGCAACATCTGGCTGTCCACAACACCTGGCTGCTTCTGGCTGTTAGGCTTTATACAGCGCACGAAATGTGGGTTGGCAGAATACATCCTCTCCATGAGCACCATCAGGGAATGCTGGTTAGAGCAGAGAAAGATCAGAAGCCCAGCGTACCAAAGCACTGCCAGACTTCCGAGTGCAATACTCTGCAGCTAAAAGCTGCCTTCCTTCCCATGCCACTAACTCAGACTCCTGAAACAGCAACAGTTCAGGCTTCAGCAACAGCCAGACCACCCTTACAGGCTGCGCCTGGCACCCAAAAATAAAGCCCTTCTACAAGCTGGATACTTTAGCCAGTGACTGGCAAGCTCTCAAATAAATAATGCAGCATATACCTCAAAGGGCAGTGCAGGGCATCAATACTTTACCCGGAACTGAGCTCCAGCAGACTGCTTTCGTGTGCTGTTGAACTTGTCTGCTCCTGGTACAATCTGAAACCAAACCCAAACAAAATGATCATCTCTGGAAGGAGTCACTGATTGCTATGTTGATTGCAGACGAAGAGAAAGTAGATTTCAGGGGTGGGAAGGTAAAAGAAACACTGCAATAGAGGCAAGCGGAAGACAGTGTACAAAACAATCAGACTGCCGCCTGCTCCTGTTATCAGCCAATTGCTGCCTGCTCTTGTTTTGAACCATTTTTTCAAATAGTAAAAATCAGGCACCTATGTCATAATTTATCAACTGCCACATGGGCCTCAAGCACGATACCTTGGTTTTCATATGAGGCATCAGTGTCCCTGTTCTGGAGATAGTGGCTGGAAGAACAGAGACAGGCGTTAATTTTGTATCTAGCTTTGCCCACAGTCAACCATTCCAAAACATTCAAAGCTTACTTCAAGCACAAATTTCCCCACACACACTAAATCACAGACATTACTTTAGGTTTCAGCATTTGGAAATATAAGGAACGAGCTAAAGAGTGAGGGAAAAAGATGCAAATATATTAAGCATGCAATCCAAGAAACATTATTTTCTGTCATGGAAAAGACAAGACAGGTGGGTTACTGAGCAACATTAAGTGAACTTCAAAACAAAGATCATCCGGAGTAGGCACCTAACAATGTAGGAAACAGTACAGGTAGAAAGTGGAAAGCTCACCAACGCACAATCAATGTGGGAGATTATACAAAACAAAGTAACTCAAAATTAATTCAGTGATAAGATGAAAAATTCAGGGAGGCTGAATTTTCGGAAGGATCAAATGACGGTGCGGCGTACCGTCGATGCCATGGTGTCATGTCAATCACAGAATGACTGAAATCGGGAAGGACCGCAGCAGGTCAACTTGTCCAACCGCTCTGTTCCGCAGTGCCACCTAGAGCCCGTCGGTGGGAACTACACAACCGCAGAACAGGAATGCACTGAGCAGATTCTCTCTGATGTTTACCAGCTTTCAGAAAGAGCTGAGACGGGGCTGTGTTTCTCCAGTAACAGTGTGGGGGTGGCAACGGAGAAACATACTCATGAAAGGTAGTCATCTCCAACAAGTGGAAAATGTGGAGCTGTTGGAGTAGTGCAGAGGAGGGCCACTAAAATGCTCACAGGCACTGAGCATCTCTCCTATGCAGAAAGGACAAGAGGGCCAAGAGCATCCTGGCCTGCATTAGAAATGGTGTGGCCAGCAGGAGCAGGGAGGTGATCATCCCCCTCTACTCAGCTCTGGTGAGGCTGCACCTCGAGTGCTGTGTTCAGTTTTGGGCTCCTCACTACAGGAAAGATGTTGAGGTCCTGGAGCGTGCAGAGAAACTGGAAACAAAACTGGTGAGGGGTCTGGAGCACAAACCTTATGAGGAGCGGCTGAGGGAGCTGGGATTGTTCAGTCTGGAGAAGAGGAGGCTCAGGTGAGACCTCAATGCACTGTACAACTTCCTGAAGGGAGGCTGTGGTGAAGAGGGATCTGGCCTCTTCTCCCAGGCAACGAGCAGGACCCAAGGAAATGGCCGCAAGTTGTATCAGAGGAGGTTTAGGTTGGACATAAAGAAGAACTTTTTCTCTCAGAGAGTGGTCAGGCACTGCAATGGCTGCCCAGGGAGGTGGTGGAGTCGCCGTCCCCGGCAGTGTTCAAGAGGCATCTGGACGACGTGCTGCATGACGTGGTTTAGTGCTTGTGGTGGCAATGGTGATGGGGAGACAGTTGGACTAGATGATCTTATAGGTTGTTTCCAACCTTGTGATTCTTGTGATTCTATGATTCTAAGGCTGGTGGAGCTGGGAGTGTTCAGCCTGGAGAAGAGAAGGCTCCAGGGTACCTCACTGCAACCCTCCTGTACTTGAAGGGAGCTAATCACAGAATCACAGAATTGTAGGGGTCGGAAGGGACCTCCAGAGGTCACTGAGTCCAACCCCCCTGCCAAAGCAGGTTCCCTACACCAATAATAAAGAGGAGGTGATTTTTTACATGGTCTACCACTGATAGGGCAAAGGGACAATGGTTTTAAACTAAAAGAGAGGAGATTTAAGTTAGACTTAAGGAGAGGATCTTCACTCAGAGGGCGGTGAGGCGCTGGCACTACTGTCCAGAGAGCTGTGGTGCCCCATCTCTGGAGGTGCTCAGTGGGTTGGAATGGGGCCCTGGCAGCCTGAGCTGGTGGGAGCAACCAGACCATGGCAGGAGGTGGAACTGTGTGGGCTTTAAGGTCCCTTCCAACTTAAGTAATTCACTGATTCTAAGAAACACGAGCAGAACTGCAAAACATAGTGCAGAATAGATATGGAATTCATCAGTTACTTGTAAATCCCAGAATGTGGCTTGGACTTAACAAGGATATAAAACAGAGAGAACCCAGAGGAGAGCTGCAAAGGTGGAAAGGGTCTGGAGGGCAAGATGTGTGAGGGATGGCTGAGGGCCCTGCATGTGCTGGGCACAGAGCGGAGGAGCTGAGGGGAGCCTGATGGCGGCTGCAGCTCCTCAAGGAGCGGAGGGCAGCGCTGAGCTCTGTTCTGTGTGACAGCGACAGGCCCAGGGAACGGCATGGAGCTGCGCCAGGGGAGGGCCGGGGGTGGGGAAAGGCTCTGCACCAGAGGGCGGTGGGCACGGAACAGCCTGCCGGAGCTCTAGGGGCATTCAGACAACACTTTAAAGCAAAATATAGCAAACAAACAAGACCTGGATCTCTGTAATTAGTGTGTGTAAGAATGGTTAGGCTTGTGATCAGAACTATGCACATGCAGTGTTTTCCCAATTCCACAGGAGGAACAGCTCTGACGGATATTCTTGCTACCATGCACATGTACCGTGGGGAACAGAACAGTTCACGGCACTTTATATCCCACCCCACAGGCTGCAGCCTTCCTAGAGGCTGTCAAGTTGGAAAAATGTTTGTAGTACTCATGCCTTATCCCCACCCTTAGCTTTTGCTGGGGAGGGCCCCAGTTCACGTAGGATGCCCCAATATAACAGAGGGACTTGCCAGTGAACAGCAGGCTGAGCAAGGGGGTGATGCTGTTGATGAAGAGCCCACGGACATTGGCTGGCAACGTGTCTCTGTTCTTCTCTAGAAAGCCACCAGCAGTGTATTGTACCTAGGAGAAAAGGCAGAGAATCACAAAGTGCTCACAAGCTTGAGGTGAAAGCCATCTCCACAGCCTGACAGGAAAAACTGTAAATCCGAATGTAGTGTCTTGGAAGGTAAATTCTGTAAATGCACAGTGTTTACAATAAAATTGTAACTGCAGTACTCTGGATCTCAATAGGTAAAGACAAAGCCAACAGAATCCCTTCTGGGGCTGTGATATAGGACTTTTATTTTAAAAAGGACTATTTTAAGATCAGTGCATCAAAAGGCCGCTGATCAGTGTGACAGATTCCTCTAATACCACATGCTTCCCAGAGGAAGTCCCACATTCTTCAGAGGTCCTTTTTCTATACCTTCCAATGAGCTCCCAGGAAGTCCTAGGAGACAGCTCCCAGGGAACGCAATATTTTTGTTATATAACTGTCAAAAAAATAGATGCCTTAACTTCAAAGCCTTGTTCGTCAAGCAACACATCTTCCCTCTCCTACAAACATTACAACAACATTCTTTTAGCAAACAGTACATACCTTCCCAGCATAGTGAATGATGCTGAAGCCCAAAACACGTCCTCGGCCTGGCTGGAAGTATATATTCCCTTTAAAACTGCTGTTTAGTTTATCCACAAAAGTCTTATCAGTTGCCTGCAAGAAAGCAGATTTTATAACCAAATTACAGGGCTGCAACAGAGACATGATCAGAGCACATGGAAGGAAAGTACAGTATTGGAAGCGGCCTTGGCTGTGGAACAGCTTCACGCTGCATCCTCTGACACTCCACAGAGATCCCAACATCGACAGTCCGTCTGGGATTTGTCTGTCCTGCCTCATCAGCCACATGAGGACTCCTTTGTTCATCCTGCTCTTTATAGTCACACATCAACATAACAATTTTCTCTGCAGTCTGCAGATTTATTGCTACTTCCCCCACATCATTCTCCCTGTCCCACACCTGAGGGAATGCACTCTGTTCATCCAGAAGAGACAGCAGCCCAAGTGGCTTGGCCAGGAGCAGATTCTGTAGGGAAAGGAGAAACATTACATGTATCCAAAGCTGAGCAGTTTACCCACTCTTATTTGTACCACCCTTTAAGCAGCATTTTCCCAATGCATCTCTTCCCAGTGATGGAAAGAGCAACACTGCTCCCTTGGCTGAGCGGAGCAACTCTCTTCTCTCAACTCTCACTCACCAGAACAGGTTCATTGTTGCTGAAGGTGATGGTTTCCCAGGGCAGCTCTTCTGCCCTATAGGCATCCTGCTCCATCTGGAAAATGTGCTGAGACAGAGCAAACAGAGGTTTAAGCCCCCAGCAAACTTAGTTAGATAACTTTGAAAATCTCTCTGAGCCTGAGTTGAGGGCACAGGCATGACTCTCTTACAGCATCACTAAAAATGAAACTGCTGTTCTGCATGCTCTCCTATAGCCTGTGAGCAGCTGCTGCTGCATAGAGCAGGAACACTTCTCAGAGTATGTGTCCCTACATTGCCAACTCAGGTCATTGCTTAACCCTTATACTTTCATTGATGGTTCTTTTGCAATGGCAGTAAAGGTCACTGCCACTTTTTACCCTGCTTTGCCCATTACCATTTCTGTCCTTCCAGTCAACCGATTTGCTTTCCAACGAGTTCTTTATGTTCTAGGTAGCTCAGTGCTCTATTTTCCCTGCCACACAAGATGAGATAATCCACAACAGACTTACATGGTTGAAGAAGTGCTGAAGCTGCTCATTGGCCAAATTTATGCAGAGCTGTTCAAAACGATTCACTGCAAAGTTTTCAAACCCAAAAATATCCAAGATACCTGAAAGAATGAAAATGAGCACAAGAGCCTGCAGATCTCACCACACAGCTGAATATCCCATCACACTCCTGTTATGGCACGTGAGCCCCTGGCCAAGTAGCTAGTGACACCCCTCCCATAACTTCTCTTGGAAGATCAATTCAGATCAATCCACTCCAATCTCCAGCTCCTCTGCAGAGTCAGCACGTCCTAGAACTTCAGCCTCACATTTGTTTCAGATCAGCTAATTGCCAGCACTTTCTGCTGCCACACAGATTTAATGCCGCTCATTAGTCTCTCCAGCACGGTCGTGTCCCTTATGCAACTCCGTGAAACTGTGCATTCCTTTGCCATGGCACTTGAGATCAGATGAAGGAGCAACGCAGGCAGAACTCACCTATCTCCCTCAGCTCTACTTCAGGATCCACATTCTCAGCCAGCAGTTCATTGATCTTGCAAACAATCCAGCCAAATACTCGGCCATATGCCACCTTGGCAATGGAGTCCCGAGCATCTGCATGGAGAGAACAAGCGATGCACTGAAGGGCTCCGAGGAAGGTAGAGACCACAGCACCAAAGTTGTCTCAATATATTCCCTTCTACAAGGTCTTGAGTTCTAAAAACTACCTTAAATATCAACATTAGGTGTGTCTGATCACCCCTGCCCCCTGCAAGCTGCTGCTGTCCATTGGTCGAGAGCTCATACAGAGCTCTTCCGTTCAAAAGTTTTCATTATCTTTCTACAAGACCAAATATGGCATACTAAGGTATTTTTGAGACTATCCAAAACAGAAACAAAACCTAACTTCCCAAAAAGTCCCTCCACTTTTCAGAATATCCAGACTTGCTTTCTTCTCTGGCAGTTAAATTAGTACAGTCCTGCTAAATGACCCAGAAGCTCCATCTTGTTCTTAGAAAATCAAATGGTTCTGCAGCAAACAATTGAACTTCTTTTTAATCCAATAGCTAACACCGAAAATAGTGCGTGCAAGAGGAGGATGCTATTGATGAAAAATTTGCTGACCAACTCAACATGTACCTACTGATGAGAGATGCTTATGCTATTGTCTAGATATAAGCAAGAAAGATATTCGAGAAGCAGAACTAAATAATTCTGTTTCCAGTTTTGCCTTTCCAACTTGTTTTAAGCAATAATCTGAAGTACTGGCATTTAGTGTTTCTTTTTAAAAAAACATCTTGTATTTCAACTGAATCTTGTTGGGAAAATTATTTTCTTGTTAGTTTTTTTTATTGAAAGGAAAATAACACACTTACCACACTTCCCTTTCATTTGACTTCTCTGATATTGTGCTATCTTACCGATTCTCTCTCTCTCCAGCAACATTCTAAAGCTCTGCACACTGCCAAAACTGTGCAGCAGTAGCCTTTCCCTCTTTTGTACAAACACCTACATTTATCTTCTAGTCTAGATTTGAGGGAGAAAGTAACGATAATTCCTTGGTCTCCCACTTAATCTCTGCAGTCTCTTTGGGATCAAACAAAGGGAGGTCAGCATTCATGATCCCAGCTGTTAGTAAGAGACCAAGCAGATAAGCTTGCCTCTGTGCAAGCAGAAGAAGGAAGTGGCACAGACAGACATTCTTGTTCCTAAGAAGTTGCACATGTGCTGGCTTGAACGAATGACCCAGAGTTGTTTGATGGGTGTCCATGCACATCTGTGATTCATTATGTTTCTTACCTTCTGCCTGCTGCTGGGTGTGAAAACGCTGTATCTGCTCTCCCCGGGTCACTGACATTGTGCAAACGAGGCATTTCAACAATTCATCCTCCTGCACTCCAAACTGACCCTGGGAAAGGGAAAACAGATCAGGAGGCAATAACGAATCCTTGTTCTATATGTGAGGATTGTATCTATATCATTACCGACCCAGTGTAAGGGGATGCATCTTGCAGAACCAGAGTCAGACACATGCTCTGAGATGCACATTATCTTAACCAGGGTGTAAGATCATTTTCTGAATACTTTCCTTTTGGATCTCCCAGTGGTGCCACCTGTCACCTTATTTACGTGCTACATCAGTCCTGGCTGAATGACTTATGGAATAGCACCACACCAAGGTGACTGTGCACAGAGATCAGCCATGTGAACCCACAAGAAAACAAAGGGAACAAAGGGAACTCAGATGCTGTTGAACTCTCCAGTAATTACTTTAACAGGAATTCCCCCTTCTGTAGGCAAAAACCAAGAAGCAGATTTTAAAAACAAAGACAAAAAGAAGTTGGCTGCTGAACAGATGCATGTGGTTAATTCAGGTATGCTGTAGGAGGAACACAGATGAAGAGATGAAACACAAAACCAAGGGTGCTGGAATTTCTAACAGATCAAAATAAAAAGACATAGAGAAAGCAAAAATATTTTTTCTGTGCTGTTAGTAAAGCACTATAATGCATCCATCTCATATACTAAAGATCAGATAGGCCTAGGGAATATATGCTTTTTAATCTGATAATTTCATGTAAAAATAGTAGAAAACTTAATTCAAGATTATCAACAAAAGTGACTGCAGTTAAGGTGTCATCCTTGGACAGGATTTACATAGATACACAAAGCCAGTGTTCAGATACCACATATCCAAATTTCTCCAAGGTACCACACTTAGTGAAACATGGAATCTGATTTTAAAACGTTTGCACTGTGTGAAGTCAACAAGGCATGTGTAATATCTCCAGATGCAAAACCCTCGTCTAGACGAGAAAGAGAACCTGGGAAGTGTTTCTTTGGGTACCAATGGCAGTGAACACAAGGCAATGAGAGGGACACACTGCAAAACCGTGACTCACCGCTGCAGCCTTCAGCCACCCCTGTGAGCTTTCACTCACTTTTAGAGACCCACTGCTCTCCTGAGGCACGAAGGTCACATTGCCCAGTGACAACACACCAGCCAGGATTGCCTGCATATCCACTTGTTCCTAAAACACACATGAGGGGTGACTGAAAATGTATTAGTATGTAAAATACAAAACGTGGAGACCCTAGAAGGAGAAAAGGTGAAGGAAAGGCATGGGCAGCCTGTGGGAAAAGCTCTAGCTGTACACAAAGTGTAACAAATTCAAGTGTTTTGGAAGCAAGATGGAAAATTCAGGTATAAACAAAGCAATCCCAGAACTGACCTGCTCTTGGAAGCCCACCATGTCAAGGGCATTGCACACCTCCTGGTATTTCTGCTTCCAGTGCTGAGATACATCCTCCGTACCAAACCATTTGCTTATGTACCTGAGAAAGTATACAAAATCATAACAAAATCAGTGCAGCAATTCAGTTCTACTCCAAATAAAGCAGATCAGCGACGGCTGAGATCTGAAAGAAATAAAAATCTTTTCTGAGGTAATGCAACACAGAAGAGATCCAGATCTATCAGCTTTCATGATGACTTGTAAGATCTCTTTATAAACACCCATTCAGATCCCACTTCAGCTTCCTTTATTTTATTTACCTGTACCAGGCTCCATCCCCAATGGCACAACTGTAGGCTCCATTTCACTACTTTCCCTTCCACTCCCCATCACAAAGACTAAACCAAGATCTGACTTTGAAGTACCTATAGAGTGAAGGATCCAATAATCCATACATCTCCTTTTGCTCTGAAGACAGTCCAGCAAACATGTAGTAGAAGATATGAAAATTCCTCTCGCCAGTATCTTGTTGCACCACTCGTGACTTCTCCAGCAGATACTCACTCAGCTTGGCACCTCGCACTGCACACAAGGAGGTAACAGGGTGTATTTTGCACAAGGAGACATGAAGTTGACTGAGCTGCCCACATCTCTGCACTACTGAAAGAAGCATGGAGTTGCCTGAGACAAGTCTTGCATACAACTTCTCTGGGCTGCCCAACACACTGGACATGGGCTCCTCCATGCTTCCCATGTTCTCAAAGATATCTACTCACCTCCTTTAATCACAACAGAGTCATCAGACACCACTGACCATTGCTGATATCTCCCCTGCATCATCACCCCAGTATTCTTCCCTTACTCCCACATCATTCAAACCCAGGTCTCATCTCAAAGCTGTGGCTGCTATAGAATTTTCTTCACACGCACACCCTTTCCACAAAGAATCAAGTAACAAAATTTTACCCTCCTTAAGTTCCAGCTACTCAGTCCACTCCCTCAACTGCCCTTGACTTTACCTGTATTGTTCTGGAAACGCAGCTGTATGTATTTTCCAAAGCGGCTGCTGTTGTCATTCATCACAGTCTGGGCATTGCCAAAAGCTTCAAGCAATGGGTTTACCTACAAGACGTATACAGACAGAAAAGGCATTCTTCAAACTAAGCGATCCAATCCAACTTGTTTGGAAAGGGTTAGCTTTAGCATTTTCTGCTTAACATTCTGATGGAACAGGAAACACTCCATGAACACTCAAAAATGTGTGTTTTATCATATTCTGGGAAAAAAAAGTCTGCAAGAGGCAAATGTGACAAAAACTAAGCAGAAATTACTGTAAATAATCACAAAAAGTGATGGACTGTCAACTCATTTGTTAAGGTAATGTTGGTATAACAGACTTTCCCAGGAATCTGGTATGGCACCACCAGATTATTTGTCTGCTAACCAACAATAAGCCAATACACATGACACTCGTTTTTTTTTTTTACTTTTTTTTTTTTTTTTTTTTGAGTTTTTTTTTTATTTTTTTTTTTTTTATATTAGAACGTAAAAATACAAAATGGCATATTTAGAAAGAATAAGGATAATAAAA